TATTACGAAGATGTTCCGTACGAGATGGTTGAGGAGAATGGTGCCTCTTGGGTGAAGCCTGATTATAGCTCCACTTCTCTGGCTTATGCTCTGAGTAACTGCAGGTTCGACGCCAACTCGAGATACGAGCTAAATGATCTGGAGAATATCGAATTCCACGATGCGCAAGATCCGAACGACCAGACGTTAGTAGTTTACAGAATGCTAGAGACCTATGGGAAGGCACTGGGGACGGTCTTCAGGAACCAGTAGGCAGAAAGGGATTCTCTATGTTTGACGATCTCAATGAATATGTAATTCCAACAAGGCCAAGTTACTGTCAACTTTTGAATATTTGGATCCTTTTAGTGGGAGGTTTAGCATCAACGTTGCCGGATTGGGGATGTTGAGTCAGCCTTACCTCCCGCATTCAAACTTTAACCAATAATTTTACTTTGCATCACGATTGTGTTGCGTATATAACAGTGATAAATGACAGGGGAAGCTTCAACGTCTCGTATAACAGCCTTCATCTGTATAACAGTGCGGTTGTTTGGTCGCCTTGTATAACAATCTTCATCTGTAGAACAGTTCGGTTGTCTGGTTGCCTCGTATAACAGCCTATACGGCAGCTCGGCGATCTCGCTACTTTGAGATTCTTTCTATGGCTTTGATTTGTTTTTCTCTTAGATTTGTTACAATGTGCATGATTGTAATCGGAGTAGTAGTTACTTGTCGACGACAAGTTGTCGTATGCATCGGAGGCGAGTGTATGCTTCATTGGTGGGTCACTCAATGTTATTCCTACATTCAATGATGACGCCAATGTGGTGTTGATACTATCAACACCACATCAGCGTCATCAACTTCCTAGGAGTTCAACGACTTTCGTCTTCCACCTTGTGTCTCGTCCTTTCATAGCTCCCAACTCTACTCCTTATCTACTCCACTAAATCGAGAGATGAGAGCAAAATTTATCTGACGTGTTCCTGGAAAAGCGTATACCAAATTCTCTGTTGGTTGATTTCCACTCAGGGCGCGACAGAATGGAAGCTCATACAGGAGATTTCTAGGCTGCCACCAGGGTTGGCCGACTTGGCAGGGTCATCAGATGCCCTTAGGAGTTCACAGTAGATTCTCTCAACGCTTCCCTTCCAAGCTTGTGTGCATAAACCGTCGCATGAAACGAACCTCGGCATTCAATGATCCAACAAGCTCGACGCAGGACGAAAAACGATCTCGTCGGCCCTCTTTGATGGAAGAGCTGGAAGATTCGCAGACTGCCTTGGATGCTGTAGATAAGGAATGTTGTCGCGAGCTCATTCGAGTAACCCGAGTGTTCATAGTATCGTTTCAGCCACTTGATCAAGGTACAACGAGAATATGATTCTCAAAAGCAGCCGTTATACGAAGCCCGGGCTCGAATATTAGAGAGAATACCCAACTTTTGGCTACAGGTTGGTGCTATCAGGGAACAATTGTCTATGATCAGTACCAGGTCGGAAACAAGCTGGAAAGGGCTAGACCGACGAGCTCGATAACCTTCAATCACGAGCATCAGACTGAGATTACCTTGATCTCTTATATTCATCGCTAAGACTGTTACCATAGGTAGATCCAGAAACGAATAACACGTAGGTTCAATACATGTTGTAGTACTCTTGTACGGGTGAGACGGTCTTAATGGTATCGTCTCAGATGGTAGTTCATGTACTCTACCAACTGTTGTCATAATTAGATTCTTATGGTCATCACTTCGAACCATCTTTTATACATCTGGAGAATGTTTCGTGATCAAATATATTTCTTTCAAGAAACCCCGACAGCTGGCTTTCTAAAGGGTCACTACATGAAAGCCTGGCCGGGTATACCAAGTCTACAGCAGCACGCACACTCATGTCCACTGAGCGTTCCACGTCGGCTCCGTTGAACAGGAGAGGACTGTCTTTGATTCTTTGGCTTTAAGAGCCTCAGTGCAACTATGAAACACAACATCGCTGTAGGTGAGATGAAAACATCACCAAACTCGTCTTTCAGAAACACTCACTACTGTGGTGGCGAAGGTCTTCTCACCACGCTTGACCTTTAGTTCTGCGGGGGATCCACATTGAACCCCCAAGGTCTCGTAAACGTCATAGACGGACCGGACCGGTCTTCCATCGATGCTCTCGATGACATCACCAACCTTCAATCCCGCCTTAGCCGCTGGGGTCTGGCCCTTTACTTGAACGATTCGGACAACATCTTGAGTGCCTGATACCACCAATTCCTCTATAAACACAAACAGGCTAGCGAGTTACCGTATCCAGCGCCATCATCGGTCCTGTTGGTGATGACCATACCAAGATAGGGAGGACTCCAATATCCGTTACTCGTGATGGAATCCGCTATATGCCTCACGAGTTGGAGAGGAAGCGCCAAACTGACTCGAAAGGTATCTTATAAGTCTATACAGTGAGGGATTACTCACCCGAACTCGCCACATTTCTTCACAATCATGCCAATGCATCGACCATCTCTCGTTACAGCTGGTGACCCCGACATACCTGATAGAAAGTAGTGAAGGTGTGGTATGATATAGGGAAATACCTGGTAGAGTGGTCACACTGAGCTGGATGAAGCGCCAACGACGCGAGCTGTTATCTATTGACCTGAATACAAAGTGATGCCGATCCATAGGAGGTCTTCGGCCCACCCTTCGGTGAAGCTCTGCCTCGGGTTACTGACTATCCCCACGGCACCAGCAAGGTCATCACCCCCGCCAGCGCCGCCTCCCATAGTGCATGCCCAAGTACCTAGGAAAGGCGATAGACACAGAGAACACAGGAAAACAGAATGCCTCTTTCTGGTAGACGGTCACTGCCGTCCTCGACGGGTTTCAACTCCTCTGATTTCTGTAACGAGAATACTGCAACGTCGCCCTCTGAGGAAAAAACACATTTCGCTACCGCATAGTAGCAATGAACATCACCTTCAGTTTTGCCCTCGAGTTTAACTTCTTCCCAACGGCCGCTCACCGGTAGCTTCACCCAAAGAACGTCACCGAGCCGAGGGTCTACTCCTCCCTGTGCGAACCCTATCCTTTTCCTCAACGTATGAGCCGCGCTGATGAGGTAAGTCCTCCCTTTCTCCTCCTTGTACACAAACGCTGTCCCTATCTGTGTTCCCGGAGGGTTGCCGCCCTGCGGACTGGCATACAGCAAGACCACGGAAGATTCGAGCGACTTGAAGACGCCCCTGAAGTCGGTGTTATCCTCGCCGTACTCCTCACAGCTCGCCACTGGTGCTGAAGCTGACAGAAGGGCTACGCTCAGACTAGCAAACGATACCGCTGCTTTGACGCAAGGCGACCAAGGACGGCCCTCTTGATATGGCTGATGTCCGCCCCTTACAGGGCTAGCGAGGCTCCCACTATTGGCTAGAGTGGAGCGATACACGCTTGATGAGGAGTGGAAGGTGCGCACAAGGGCAGCAATGAAGGGACGCCGACCAAAAAGAAAGGGCGCCACTCGAGACAGGTTTTGGGACATTATAGGGTGTCAAAAACCTAAGTCCGGGAGGGACTCAACTCAGGGCATTTCAGAACTCAGTCGAGACCAATAGGCTTCTGCGGAGCACCTCTCTGTCGCATCGATTGCAAGAGGTAGGCCAATGACGCTATCAAGATCGTCACTGCTACGACCAGCAACTTCAACACTGTTGTTTTCAACCTCTCTAACTTATCTCGTTGTGTTCTTTCCCCCACGTGGGTGACACTGGAAGGTTGAGGGTCTTCCGAAGGAGTCCCCGTAGACGATTCATTTTCCACCACTGGAGATGTCTCGGGTACTTCTTCCTCTTCAACAACACTCTCTATGGGTTGGCCGCCATCCTCCGAGTTACCCCCGCCCTCCTCCTCCTTGTCGTGGCTTTGCGTAATCATAGTCTTGGCCAACTTTGACGTCTTGGAGGCGTACCTTTCATTCCATAGCAAGCAGCAGCAGCGGTGCCCTCCCAAAGCCTACTCTCGCTTTGCGCACTTCAACTCATTGAGCGCAGCCCTGATCTGTGGATCGGTAGGACATAGACGATACCTAATATACCGTGACCTGGGCGAGACCGACCATCCTCGTGCTCACGCCGCCAACAGGGACTTTTTCGCTCGTGTATAATCGTCCTTGTACTTCATAAACACCATGCCTTGCCAATACAGAGCCTTCACGTTCTCATGATCTATCTTCAGAGCCTACCAACGACCACACTATGAGGGATGTCCGAGCTCTGCTGCTCACCTGGTGTGTTTGGCTGAGGACCTCATCGAAGTCCTCGAGCTTGTACTTGCAGATTGCGAAAGAAACATGACATTTCTGGCCAGCGACCAGCGTGATAGAAACCGTATCGACTTTCCGTCTTCCTCACCAGCTTGCTAGCGTTAAACCACTCCCTGTCGACCTTGGAATCCGGAAAGCAATAGTCGAAATTGAGTAGTGCCTTCCGATACCACACCGCCGCCAACCCACAGTTGCCTTCTCGAAGGTACTCATTGGCCTTCTGCCGCATCGTATCAGCGCCTGATGATAACACCAATGCGCTCAAGAGGTGTAGTAGAGCACACCTTGTAGTTTGTCTTTAGTGGGCATATCGTACAGCTGTTGCTCCTTACGATGATCATGAGAGCATCCACCTAACGCTCCTGACCTCATCAGTTCAACACACTCGGGGCCTGACATGACAATACCCCTCAGCCGTTGATGGGACTATACCATGTTCATGGTCCAAAGGGCACCGTTCTTGGGCCTGTCTTAGGTCCTCTTCCCTCTTGGCCATCTCCAACTCCGCCTCCTCCTTAGCCTTCATCTCAGCCTCCATTCGTTGAAACTTAGAATAATCGTTGGAGTATGGTGTCGGGTTGGTAACAGTCGGCAAGGCCTTCTCCGAGGCTGAGCAAAGCAGTGATGGACAGATTTGGTCTAGCTGGTCGGTCGTACTGGCAGACTCATCTTTGTACACTTTCTCATTCAACCAGTCTCCGGCCAACTCCCTTATCATACAACTTTCATTCTCTGTGAAATAACAAGCACTTCCTCCACTGTGGTCCTTGTGGGTAGACATGGGAGGCTAAGCCTGCCGTCTCGCAAACACACTGTAAACGCGACAACTTAAAAACTGGATAACAGCAGCTATGATGAACATGCCGAACGTAGATCGCTAGACCCGATAGCCACTTCTCCGGCTGGGGAGACCACCAAAGTAGCTGCGAGCAGTCGGAGGACGGCTTTGAAGTCACTAGGAGGGATGGAGGGAAGCATGGTCGGATCTGAGAGAAGGCGAACACCTCCACATTTCACCTTCAAAGATCTACCTTCAATGGCAGCCTTCACGACTTGTGATAGCGTGTCACCAGTCTTTGAGAATTCAGGGGCTTTGACCACCGACCGACAGAGCTCAACCATTTCCAGCTGGCCGATAGCGATGGTCTTGCCTGTCATCGGGGCGTAACTGAGAGTTGGAGGAGTCACAAGAAGACTAAGGAAGGCCCCATGACCCTACCACACCACGTCAATCATCAGCAGAGGGGTGGTCGGTCGTTGAGCTGCTGAGAGGCGGAGTAATGCATTCTCGGAGGCGATAGAGTCAGCCGGTCGCCAAGATATCTAAGGTCCAACCGAGGAAGATACCAAATAGGTCCTCTTCCTCCTCACCAGCCTGTTCACCACTGCTGCACAGGGCGACTCAGCAGGAGTCATGATGGCCCTTATGTCGGTGACCGGCCGTAGCATACTCGTCGTCTTCACAGAGGTGTTGGCCGCCTCGCGAGATTCCTCCTCCACACCGTGAAGATCCCTTTGCCGTCGGTCGCGATCTGACAGGAGCAGATGGGGATAAGCAAAGCCGCTAGAGGAGTATTACACATGGACAACTTGTTCCATAGGCCTCCGAGCTCAGGGTTGGAAAACGAACTCCCCTCCAGAGTGGTACTCAGAGGGGCCAGGAGGATATCGATCAGCCTCCCACCAGAGACCCTGAAGGGCATTGCACTCCTAACGGCATGACAGCTCACCTCGTCTTCACTCCGACCAATCGAGAGGCTATCGTCTCTATGAGGCCCTTCTTATCGTCATCATCGGTATCAACACATACACCCAAAGTATACCTACTCTTGTTGTTGCACACTAGGCCTGACGACATTCCCTTACATGTGCCCAAGGGCGGGGTCCAGCAATCTGAGAACCACCAAACCGCGATCAAAAGATAGCAGCCACACTTCAAGTCTCATCCACTCCTCTACTGTATCCTCAGTCTCTTTGACTACTACAGGGATCCACGCCTCGACCGGTGGGGCCCTGCCAATAGGAGTACTCTAGTACAACCAACGACACTACAGGGCCCTTCTCCTCAGAGTTAGCTCCTCCACTGTAGCATCCATCTGACCATGATAGTTGCCTGGTCCATGATCGTGAGCTCACATTTATCCTCCCTTCCACTCCCATGGACACGCCCGAGGCCAGAGCACTGACAACAGCATCAGACGTTTCCTCAGCCAAGTCGATCTCCTCCATGAGGTTCGTCCCTTCAAGATCGGTGATGATGCATATAAGAGAGGACGAGAGACCCTCATGGACTCCCTCAAGCAGTGCCCTCGCCAGCACAGTACCACTGAGGACAGGACTAGAGTAGTGGAGACGGGGAGGAGGAGGAGGGGGACAGTACCCATCTAGGAGACCCTCTGGGGCGATGAAGGTTCCACCATGAGGGCAGCTAGCTTGCTGCAGCTTCGTCTCAGGACGATGATGATGATGACGACACAAGTGGTGCCATACAATGACAACGTATAGCCTTCCACTAGTCTGTTTGGTAGAGCGATAGACCATCTTGCACGCCTTCATCGACGTCGAGGTCGCAGGTTCGATCCCCACCGACGGAGCTCTCCCCTCCACAGCAGCCATTCCCACCTCAAGCTTTCGTCGTAGCCCCTCTCCCACGACCACCCTATCGGACCTAGACCACGGCAGCTCATCAAGGCAGCCTCGCCTGACCTACAGGCCTTCCAACGACTTGTACCAATCTTGGGACTCAGCCAGTACAGCATTCAAACGTTTCACCAAGGAGTAGCGTGAGGACCAATCAGACTCTATGATGGCTCTGTCCTGGACAGGCTTTGAATCTTTCCAAGAGGAACCTCGGAAGCGCTCACCCGCACAAGTTCGATCCTCTCAGCCTTCAACTTTGCAATCCGGAACTCGAGATCGCCCAATTGCCTAGTGGGAGGAGATATCCCTAACACCCCAATGGGCCTACTTATAGCCCTTCAGGGCCTCCCTCGACTTCGCTGCCTCGTCTCTCGCTGCCCTCTTCTCCCGAAGTGCCCTCGACAGACACCGACGGAGGTCCTCCCAGAGCTCAATGGGCACCCTTGCAAAGTCCATCCCACCTCGTCCCGAAGGCTGAGGATAAGACTGCTCAAGTCGCTGATGCATCGAGGGACATACATCCCGCATCACGCAGTCCATGCTCGAGAGAACCAACTCCTCCTCCTCCTCGACACCATCACGACGAATGGACGAGGAAGGGAACCGGGAGGAAGAGGAGGACGACGATGCAGTACTAAAGTAAGGACCTAATCGAGCAACTTAAGAGAAATGAGCAGCTCCTCGGCATGGCTAGGACTCCGGTGATCATCGTTATCATGAAGTTGGGTACTAAGGACGTAGTCCCCTGCATGGAATTTCCTGTCGAACACAGTAGAGATCGAGGCCCCAGCAGTGATCTTGGCACGCCCATCAGGGAGCACTGGGGACGTCCTCGCCCGAACTTTAGGAGCTGAACGACCGCCGTGAAGGACCAGAACGGCCAATGTGGTGATCCACCTCGTTTGGGCTTCGAAGAACTCATCGTGGGAACCTCGCGGAGCTGAGGAGTGTTTGTCTACTGTCAACGCAAGGATGTTGAGGTGATGAAAGTTAACAAAAACGTTATAGAGATGAGGATGATGACCGTGCTTATGGAGACTATGAACGATCAGCAAAAGTGATAGTTCCGGCCCAACAAAGAGGTCCTCGTGGGGGAACTGGTAGTGAAGTATGACATGAAAACTTGGTACTAGCCGAAGCGGTCAAGAGAGTAACCTCCCGAGAATCTCTCTCAGCTCGCTGGTACTAGCACGGTAGAGGACGAGGAAGACCCCTGAGTTGAAGAGAATGTCGCTACAGCTGAGAGCACACATCTACCCCTGTCGGTCTTTCCTCTTCCCCCAGGAGATCCATCTCCCTCGATCTCGACCCATCACCCTCCTCGATGTCATGTGGCTGTTCTGATGAGGCTGACGAGGACCAGTCGTCATCCGTGTCACCGAAACGGTGGGAGTAGGGCTCCTGTGTCACACCTGAGGGCCCCGACAATAGCAACGGAAGGCGAAGCATGATACGTACCGAGCTGGTACACTCCTCCCCTCTTCCTATTGCGCCATCCGTAACACATGACCTGGAACAAGCCTCAATGGTAACGACCGGAAGGCCAGCTTACGCAGCACGCTGCAGTGACGAGCAGACCCGCAACGGCGACCACTATAGCAATGCTTAGATCGGACAACGCTGGAGAGGCAGCCATCATGGCATCAGGCCGAGGCGTGGGTCGTAGGGTCTTTTCCGTCTCTGATTGGCCCTCCTTCTTTGGTGGTTTCACTGGACTCTGCGTTTGCATGGGAGGAGAGGTCTTAGGGGAAGGGGAGTACAGAGAGCAGACCCTGGCCTGGGTAGTAGCCTACCGAATTCATCCATGGGGGCATCGCTCCTCGAACAGGCTCTGGTCTTTCCACGTACTGTGGACAGTCAGCCGTAGCCCAGCCGAGCCGCCGATCCTCGAGGTCAAATATGATATCGTGGCCCTGCATCCACGATGCACCTGCATTAAACACCCTTGCTGGGGATCGAACCCGAGACCTTTCGATTACCCAATACTGTCTCTTTTGCATGATTGTCTTCAAAGGTGTAACAATACGTATTGCTATTTGCTTTATTATACCTGAACACTCGCGAGGTGCTTTCCAATGTGCATGCGTGCATACCATAACTCTCAACACAGCCAACTTACATGTAGAACATGGGATACCACATCCGGTGCTTCCCTCCAACAGTAAATCGCAAGACGGGAAACGACGAAGTGTCATTGCCAGGTGCCTTCAAAAACCGATTCGAACAACATGATCAACAACAACAAATGCCTCGCCTTACCACCCAACACGCTCGGTCCTTTCGAGTAGCCCCTCCGCAGGCTCCATCCTTGCAGATCTCATCAAGAGCTGACGTTATACCATTGAAGATTCCTGTCGGTAGATACCTGATCACGATTAGTCCTACCCGAAACCGACCGGCAACTCTACGTATATGTCGTCCCGGAGTCCACCATGGCATCACCGAAACTCGCTTGGTCGGTGGATATTTCCTTAGCCTGATCACAAGGACACCTCACAAAGGAGGGGAATTCATAAACTTACCCCAGTCACTGCCTTCACAGTAGAGGGTTGGTCCTCTGGGTACACACCTAGCGACTGAATGCTGATGTAGTAGTAGCCTCGATCGGTGCTCATAGGAGCCCAGCTGACCGAAGACCTGAAAGCCTCAATCACGATGGAGACAACTGAGCTACGGTACGTATGCCTCGTCGCATTGTAACCGCCGACAACGAGTTGCCCACCCCAGGTAGCCAAACACATGGAGAAGAGGCTCTTATCGACCTGCAAAAAATGCTCCTGCCAGGGATCGAACCCGCGCCATGCCCACGGGATTCTCCTTAGAATCAAAGAGAGTCTCCAGAACCGTTCGGCCACCACCTCTAGATGGTGCCATCCCCATAATACCTAACCACGACCCCTCAAGCACACGTAAAGACCCTCCCACGCCTACCATTGGCCTTCTGCGTATAGAAAAGTTTATTCTCGCTGGTATGGCAGCCTAACTTCGTCATCACCGCAGGGTTGAGCTCATCGTGGTCATCCAGACTAACATAGTCCTCAAACCAGTACCCTTCTATACTAGAGCCCTCAGTATACGACTGATGGTAACTGACGAGGAATAAGAAAGCAACAGAATGCATCACCATTCCTTACTAGCATTTATCTTCTCGACATTGCGTTCTGAACGTCGCAGGACAATCGTCACAAGACAACCACTTAGCAGTGGAACTCTTATTAATGTCGAAATGCGGGTCTATATGGTTCCCCACATGAGCCTTCGGTATCTCGCATGTGAAACCAGGCAGTGTAGAGCCTATAATCAAGCAACAGTACAGACGCATACCAACAGGGCCGACCTACCAGTATCAACGATAAGACTCGTTCGCTGTTGTGGAGTACCCACCAGTAGGTCTATGAACCAGTAAGCATACTGGTCTATATGCCCGAACAGCTTAGCCGTTATAATAGTGTCACCTTTCAAGAGCACAACCATCATCACCTCGAAGTCCTCCACGACTCACCCCGGCTATATACCAGTTCTCTTGGACTACCACTAACACCATTCAGCTTGCGTATACCTAAGCCCTCACCATCGTAGCCCCTCACCCTCGGCTCCGCATGAGCCATCGTGAGGGCGGATAGGGCCAGTAGTAGCAAGGGCACCAGCATGGACAATGCAGTAGTACACAGACATGCCGAATAGGCTCGAGGCGACATCGTTGACAAAGATCAACAACAACAACAAAGAGTCAACTACAACCCTGGACGCAGACCAAGAACACGATGCTATGGCACAAGATGGTGATATGTCAACGTCTTTAAGAGCAGCAATAGAACTGCTCGCGAGCTCTCATCTCAGGTATTGGTTGAAACACAGGAACCTGGCAACTGATCGACAAGGCATCCACCCCTTACGAGAAAGTACTTGAGCAACATGCGATGGGGGATCGTCGTCCCTAGTGCGTGGTAGCCTTCTCGGAAACAGTTGGTGGCTTCACAGGGAGCTTCGCTCCGCTAAGACCTACATATTCATACCACTCCTTCTCCACATCCTGATCACACATCTTACATAATCCACATGCTGCTGGAGCTTGTTCTTTCCCAACCCCACAGCTCAAACAGGGCCTATCCCACGTTATTGAGTCCACCACAGCACCAAAGACATCCCTCTCAGCATAGGGGTAGTCCATTATGCTAAAGCCCAACTCACAGAGTTCTCCCAAATACACCGTCAACTGAACAACACTCAGACTATGCCGGGACAAGACCAGGAGGGCCTACCTTGCCGTGCTCATCGCGACCAATAATGAAGTCATACCGCAGGGCCGGAGCTGGCTGGTCCGCCTCCGTCAGCATCCATCGCTGCCAGGCTCGTATGCACGTGTGGCATATACCCTCGGCCTGAGTAACGACGACGACGACTACCAATGCCACCCTGCAGGGCCCTCGTACAACCCTACTTCCTTCAGGGCCTCAACATCTCCCTCAAACCACCTATGGGCAGCCTCTGTTCGGTCCTGAAACCGACGACACTCACGAACAGAGACCCATCTAGCTCTGAGAAAAAACGTTCCCCAGGGTTTGATAGCAATGAAGAAAATGATGTTCCTAATGTGATGATGACATTTACATTGGAAACTGATTAAAGAATGTGTTCCTAGCCATACGTGGAAAATTCAAAATGAGTTTTCCCCCGGGATCATTATAGGTTCCTGGACGACTCTCTGATCGAGAGCTCTCACGCACATCCGGTCCTTCCTACCATAGACCTCTCGAAGTCCCTATACAGCCCATCCTCGCTGATCCTGGCAAAAGTGGAGTACGTCACGTGGCGAACCTCTCCCATAGCGGTGATAAATCTCATCTCAAGGCTATTCGGAACCCTCTCTTGCACCTGACCTCCTATAGGATTCCATCATAACAGTAGCAGCCTCTACCAAAACAGAATCGTTCTTGCAAGTCGGCTGCAGGAGAACATCCTGCATCTGGCTGGCCAACGACGAAGCCTCAGCGTCAAACGTGCGGACATCCATAGCCTCCCAGGAGTAACCAAGCTTACAAACACCACCTATGGGAAGTGACAGTAACAAGAAGTCGCTACTGTTGAGCTGAGGCATCACCTCGCACCAAGGGTTTGCCGTCCATGATGATTTTGAGATTGTCCAATGCAGACTGGGCAGCAGCGTGAGCTGATGTGATCACAGAGCCTCTGCTAACCTACGGGGGGTCACTACAGTGCGTGGCAATTTGATATGCAAATGTGAAAGATGAACGTTTTTCCCGAGATCAACGATGACAGCTTTGAAGCTTCACAAACTGTATGAACATGTACTGCGAGAAACGTGATCGTAATTCATAGCAACTCCTAAGGGGAGGCATCTTACGAAATACTCACATCTCACAGGTTTACGGTATGAGACAGTAATGCTATAGTAGGTAGTAGTATTGATGAAACAGTTCTACTCGAAAACCTAACTTAGAAAAATAACACCCAATTTTCTGCACGAGCACATGTGCTCTCATATGTTTATGACGATGATGTGGCGTAGATACACGACGCCATACAACACTATTGGACTATATCAGTGGCTTCCTCAGCTGAACTCAGGAGTCCCTCAAGCGATAATCCAACAATTTACACACGACTTCGAGTAGGAGCCTACAAAAATCAACGGGAATTCCGCCACTTTTTCTCAGAATTTCCTAATTGTCATCAACACATGTAGTTCTACAGCACGCAACTACGGGCAGAGGGTCGAGTATTAAGCCATACCCTTTCACAACTCTTCATTTAGCCTTACCTTAACACATTTAGGTAATCGCAGATCCTCTTGAAGACAGAGGTGGGCGTACAGGTCCTTAGCCACTATGGTGCGATGTAGATGCGACGTATGAGGAAAGCGAGTACAGATGCCTATAGCCTCCATTCTGGCAGAGACAGCAATAGAGAGCACAAGCCACTGACAACTCCTACCTGGCCAGAAGGTTGAAGAAAGAATCACGAGCAACGAAACCGCCAATGTTAGGATTGCAAGAGTCTTCAAACTCACATACCCATAGGAAGTACATACCAGCACGATGCCTGCCAGGCCACGATATAAGTCGCCAACAGCATCATGAGGACACCACCTTCCAGTGAGCTGGCACACAATCGCTCTCTCGCTGATCTTGTCAAGTTCAGCACTGCACTTTACATACGTTGTCAGGACTTCGTAGTCGGGCCCTATACGCCTATATAGTTCCCCTAGCAGCGATACGATATACCTGACAGAGCTTCATAACCCCATCAAAAAACCTAGTAGCACGCACGCGTCAGAGATGGTTGATCCCGTCTCGCCCCAGCTCGGGAAGTCCCACTCGTTAGCCGCATCAGGGTTGGCCCAGCGGACCTAGTAAGCACTAGAGCCTCAGGAGCAGCCTCGCAGACCCTACCACATGTAGGCTGACCGAAGGCCTAGGGTTAGGTGGGCTCAGCTTGAGATCTCCCGCAGGGACATTCTCCGTCACCCTGGACGTGTCCAGTCTCATCGAGCCCCTCTCATACCACAGGGAATGATCATAGCAAACCAAGGGCCACGTGTGCCTGCAGCCAACAACCATCTACTCAGCGTCGGAGGAATATATGTTCGCTCTCCTCAGCTGAGCTCAGGATTTCTCTCCCTGATCATATAAGTTCACACACGAATTTCTATATTGCCACCAACACACGAATTTGCTCAGAATTTCCATATTGTCACCAAAACTTCCCCCTTCACTTCCCCCTCCTACTTCTCATTAGGCCGGTACTCGCTCTTGCGCCAATCCCTCACGACCGTAGCAGTCATCCATCTATCACTCCACCCTGTAGGAGGTGACGTAAAAGCATCAGCGGGTGAGGCTACTGCCATCCAACAGTATTGGGAGGAAGCCGATCTAGAAATTTGCATCCTATAGAACACCCATCTGACAAGAAAAACCAGTGTGGCCCTCTAGGGCAGCGCAAGTTCCCTACAGCCTATGGCCTGCCGCTAACGCCTCGGGCAGGTGAGTGACGGTGTGCATGTCGTAGTGAGGCTCCTCCTGTCTATCGGGATGAGGGGGAATCCTAAACCCTGTACCGTTGAAGCCGTTACTGATGACTACACCGCTGTTGTCAGTGTAAGAGGGTGTTGTCATTTCACAATCAGGTGTGGGGGTAGGCATAGTAGATGTTGCTAAAGATGGTGATGATGGGGAAGACATTTGAACCAACACAGGCTACTGTTTATACCACTCCAACTGCAACACGTACAGGAGTACTATGAGAAAAAAGTAGAGGGTGAATGACAGTACTTAAGAATGCGATAAACGAGCTCACTCTGGAGGCACCGCGTCGTCACCGTTGAGTTTCACACCGCTGACTTTTCCAAGGACATCAACGACTGCCCACCACTCCCTACCCATACACCGACGAAACATAGCAGCCTCCTCGTTGTCCATGTGCAATTCCAACTTGAGAGTTCTATTCTGGTACACCAGTACCCTGTCAAAGGTAAAGAGTAAACCAATAGAGTCTCCAGCAGACACCTGTGGAGGGAAAATTCCCATCACGAAGATTGTCTACTGCTACTACCTCTCGTGCTGGTCGCCACTGCCTTGAGCTCACCTTATGAGCCCGACCATTCACCCACAGCTGTAGAGGATCATAGCCGATCAGGAGGGAGCAGGGCCCCTCTACCTTTGGGGCTAGAGTGGCAATGGCATCCTCCTGAACTCGAGAGGAGGGTAGGTTAGTAACTAACAGGAAAGGCTGTGGACCGACTCGGACACAATAGTCGTTAGTACCATTTGAAGGGTCGATAGTGGTGAGGCCCAGGGCAAAGGTCTTCATAGCTGTTGCCGTCTTGATGATAGTAATAGAGTAGTAGAGCCCTCCACTGGGTAAACTCGCAGTAGGTGGTAACCTGACAGGGAACGGTAAGCTACTACTACTACTACTACTACTACTACTACTACTACTACTACTGCTACTACTACTACTACTACTACTACTACTACTACTACTACTACTACTACTACTGCTACTACTACTACTACTACTACTACTACTACTACTGCTACTACTACTACTACTGCTACTACTACTAGTACTAGTACTACTACTACTACTACTACTACTACTACTACTACTACTACTACTATTACTTTTGTATAGGATCCTTACTGAACACCACCGCGTTGTTGATGCCGCTCTTCCTCATCGCAACTGTATCCTCCTCCTCTAGCTTCACTCGACTACCCTTAACCCTCGACTCAAACACCATCGGACGATACAAACGCAAGTAACTGAGCATCCAAGCACTCAAAGAATCCACTGTACTCAGTTCCCTCACTCGATCGCCTCCACTACATTTCCAGCCTTGCCGAGGACTTTAACACTAAGACACTCTCGTGACCGTCCCCTCTCTATAGGTGCTATGGCCAGGCCTATCTCAGTACAGGGAGGATCCCCCTTAGGCACGGCTCGACCAGTGACCGTAACAATCTCGCTATCCACCCTCTTCTCCCCTAGCCGCACTTCAACACCCACGAGGGAATTGCCGACCAAATTCAACACAGTAACTTGTACTTTATTCTTCCTCCCATACGCCAAAGACCTCGGTGTAGCATCTACTATCTCCATCTTGTCATAGTACTCAAATGCCGCTCTCAGTAGTAAGCTCTCACTGGCGTCCTCCATCACAACCAACACATCAGCAGGGCCCGGCAGGCCCCTCGTCATCGGCGCTAAGAACTGTCTTTGAGTCTTTTCAAGGGCCGCCACCTCTGCACAAGGCCTCCCACCAATTTTCAAATATGCTATCCCTTCCAACTGAATGCCACCCTCAGCCGAGACCTCAACCGTAAATCTACTGCCGCCTTGTCGTGGAGCTCCGGCTGGTTCGATAACAAGAGGAGCCATCTCACTAGAATAGGACACTACTGACCCGACCTCGTCCATCGAGGAAGCACATATGCTTACGTCGGAAGTTCGGCTAACGGCCCTCTCGGGTTTAGGGGCCACCCAGGACCCCCTTCCCTCAGTGACCTCATCCCGGCCCTCATCCGATTCCGAAAGGTTGAACGAAACGCTCCCCTTGGGACCCGACAACATGCTCTCCTCCGTTACGTCCTTATCCCCAGCAACAACTTCAGATGGACTACTAGACTCTTCCTCACCAAGGTTCTCGTCCTTCGTCATCGACTCTACTCCCATTTGCAATACCACACCATCCTCAACCGTCTTGAATTCGGAGGGTGGTGCCGGCAGAAGATCCATCAAGTCCTTGTGACCCTCAGCCACAGACTCGCTCGCCTTATCCGAGGTCGATCGGGCAACAGCTTTCTCTTGCTCCCAAGCATGGCTCAGCTTATCCAACCGTAATAGCAACTGGACCCTCTCAGCATCTTCAACTAAGC